AGTTTATCTTTCTCCACACAGGCTAAGAAACGTAATTAAGCAGTTTTCAGTGTTTTGCTCTGTTACATTTCAGGAGGAACAAACGTATTGGATCTACTTTTCCTTTTCCTGTTTAGGTTCAGTGCCAAAACTTGCACTGTGGTATATTTTATGACTGTGGTGGTTTCACAGTGGGGTCGTTGTTATCAGTGGGGGTTTTCTGTGGTCGTCCAGTGGCTCGTCTGGTGGGATTCTGCAGAATATGAAATAATTGAGTCATCATAAAAAAATTAGATCACAAAAACAACACAGCTGATATTTTACTCTCATGCTGAGTTTGGAACAAAGGAATATTCGGGCTGCAGAGTCGGTCCTGAAGAAGCTGCTTCATGAAGTTTGTCCTTGAAAGAAACTCGGTTTGGACGTTTTCCTCTGAACTGTGTGATTTTATTATCAGGACAGAAAGCAAGACAAACAAAAACTAGTTTGAAATGACAATAAAGCACACAGGCTATGCTGCCCAGCACCGTTTGTACTGCCGCGCTGCTTTCTATATGATTCTGTTTATTTATTGTTGTATCATTAACTTTCCCCTCAGCACGGTTGAACCTGTGTGTCCACAGCAGAGACTGTACTCAGCCAAATGATGCACACTTATTCATAAAGCCTGGACCACATACACCTGCGTACCACGAGTGACAGTACACGTGGTTTCCTGTTTAACTGCAGTATATGACGTGCATGAAGTAATTACAAGTAGTAGCTGTAGCGAACGTGCTTCAGCGTGTCACGATTGCATCTCATTAATTTCCCCATGACATGATCGAGGCTCAACTATTTCATTTTAATAGCCTTAATCTCTCTCAGCACCGTGCACGTGAGTAACGTGCACTAAAATGGAGCTAAAGCCCTGAGTAGACCTCCTGCCTCAGCATCCGTCTGCACACTTACATCAAACACACAGTTTGATCACATGCTCCTGCAGTGACTGTTTCTGACGTGAAAGTATTTTTAATTTTCAAGCTTCGTCTGCGCCCGTGGCATCATGAGCTGCTTGTTGTGTTTCAGGCTGCTGCATTTACGAGAAGCCCCGACAGTTTGGAGAGTCTTCCTCCGAGAGCGAGGGAGACGACGACGACGAAGGCTGCGGCAGCGCTCACTGCATCCTGGGCCACGGCAGGAGAGGCCATGGACAGACGGGGGGCGGGGGGACAACAGTACCCCCAAACTCTGGGGGGTCGCACTCGCACTAACAAAAGCAGGGCTGATTGTGTGGTCTGAGGGCTCTTTGGCGCCACGACAATGACACATTAAAAACAAACAAACTGCACTCTTGTTTTAGTTTAGTTTCATCACTGAGGTTCAGCCTGACGACC